CTTGGGGGCTTGGTCCAGCCAGACGACACCAGGGCCCATGGCCCACCTCAGGGAATAGGTGCGTGCAATCATCGGGCCTGAACCCCCATGCTGCTCCTCCCCCCTCGGTGTCACCCCTACATGACCTCATTGAGTCGCTGTGCTAAACCTAAAATTCACCAGAAAGAGAAAAATAGGTCAGAAAGAGCCAACCGCATCCTGGACAGCACCGGGCAGGGAGGGAAGGGAACTTACATCACGGTTGGCAGTAACATTGTGTAACGTGTGCACACCCCACTTCCGCAATGCCCATCCCACGGCCCTTCCAGTGGCTCTGGATGGTGGGCAAGCGAAGGCTCAAGCTCCCCTCCTGGGCGAAGGCATGCAGCTCAAGGCAGGTGCTGTGTCCATGCAGAGCCTGGTCCAGAATCCCAGCTCGGTGCAAGTGGCGTGGGCTTGGCGCACGCAGCCCTTCACCTCCCTGGGCCTCAGTTTTCCCATCTGTGACATGGAAGAGGCATGACCTCCTCAGGCTGATGCCTGACACCTGGTCCAGCTGGGCCAGGCCTCTCTCATCGCGGACCAGGCTGTGCTGCTTCTAACAGAGAATTTGAACTTGGAGGACTTGTTGCCTCAGATATCTGTAGGTAGAGAGTGGTTTCTTCTGAAGTCAACCTCCTAACGCTCTGTCCCCAGGAAGAGAGATGCTGGGGCAGGTGCTGTGCCCACAGCCAGAGCCCCGGGAAGGCAGGACGCCCTGCCGTGTGTGTGCCGTCCGGGCCTGGTTTCGCAGGGAGCTCCCGGGTGTACCGGTACTCTGTTACCTGGGGGATATGGACAGTGCTGTACCCCGCATTGGTGCTCTGGGGGCACTGTCCTATGATGCCTGGAGTCCCGGGGAAAGCAGGAGTTCTGCGGTTAGAAGGTTCCGGGCTCCTGCTGCCTCCTTCTCTGGGTTCTGGGAGAATCCTGACTGCTGCCTGGACCCTGTTCTCTCCCCCCAGAGCCTTTTCCTCCACCCCCGACGCTGGCTGCATGGGAATAGCCATGTGCCTGAGCGAGAAGCCATGTGCCCCACCAAGAGGAAAGCCACCAAGAACCACTGAAGCCCAGGCGTGTCCCCTCCCCCACCCCCAGCTGACCCCGGGGCCTCCTTCCCCCTCTCCTCACCCTCCCTGCGCATCCATATCCTTTGGGTCAGCTGACGGCCCATGAGGTTGATGATCTGACAAGTTTTACCTTTGACTCTCTCACCGACTGACTGACCGACCGAGGGTGAAATGCTCAGATCCGTGGTTGGCAAACTGCGGCTCACGAGCCACATGCGGCTCTTTGGCCCCTGGAGTGTGGCTCTTCCACAAAATACCACGTGGGGGTGCCCATACAGTGCGATTGAAACTTCGTGGCCCATGTGCAGAAGTCGGTTTTCGGCCTGGGCGAGTCTATTTTGAAGAAGTACTGTTGATATTTGGCTTTGTTGACTAATGAGTTTGCCAACCACTGGCTCAGACTGTCCGCTTCTGGGGAAGTGAAGAGGCGTTTGGCCAGCTGATATCCCACAGGTGACCTTGATCTTGAATTCCTTCCTGGAGTGCTGGGTGGTCAGGCACCCTTGTCAATCACAGCTCCCTGCTCCTCCGTAACCACCATCCCTTCACTTCTCCCGCCTCCTACTCCATCTGCCGGCTCAGTGCCTAGAGGAAGCCAGGGTCCTGCTCTGGCTGTTAAGCAGTTAGTGTCTGGCTGTGACGGGGAAACTCGGCTTCATACACAGTGAGGGCATCGCAGCGACCTCCCCACTCCGCACTCTGCCAGCCTGTGCTGCTGGGTTCACTAGCAGAGGGTGGCTAGTTGTGCTCCCTGCAGGTCTGCCCTTGACCTGGGTGACCGGGGTGGTGTTAGAAGCGTGTTGTGGGTTCATTCGCCACCAGTGGCCCAGGTTTGTAGCAGAAGGGGCAGAGGGGAGAATCCAAAGCAGGCGTCCTCAAACTACGGCCCGCGGGCCACATGCGGCCCGCTGGTTGTTTTTGCTGCCACTGTGTGCATAGGAATTTGTTCATAGTTTTTTTTTAAACTATAGTCCGGCCCTCCAACGGTCTGAGGGACAGTGAACTGGCCCCCTGTTTAAAAAGTTTGAGGACCCCTGATCCAAAGGGTCAAATGCAAAGGACCTGGGAAGAGCGATAAGCCAGAGAGTTGGCAACAAAGAACTTGCTGGAGGTGAGAATCCGCATGGGGAAGCCTCGGGGGCAACAAAGCAGCCTGAGGGCGGGTGGGATGGTGAGGGCCTTTATAAAGAACTTGCTTCTAGCCCTGCCGGTGTGGCCCAGTGGTTGAGCATTGACCTGTGACTCAGAAGGTCACGGGTTCGATTCCCCGTCAGGGCACATGCCCAGGTTGTGGGCTCCATCTCCAGTGTGGGACTTGCAGAAGGCAGCCGATCAATGATTCTCTCATTGATGTTTCTATCTCTCTCTCCTTCTCCTTTCCTCTCTGAAATCAATAAAAATATATTTAAAACAAATAATAAACAACGGATTTACTTAATAATTATATACCAATATTGGCTATCAATTGCAACAAGCAATAATGGTTTCTATATTGCACAGTAGAATGAAAGGTGAAAAGTGAGCCCGTTACAATGGTCACTGTTCTCAGAGGAAAGGAAACAGATCTTTGGCTCCTTCCTCGCGCTCCGCACGGTGCTCACGGGAGCTGGTTCTCCCGTCCTCTCCAGCGTCTACTCCCCTCCCCTCTCTCTGGACAAGATGTAACTCACTTTACAAACGGAGGGGAAGATGCTGTAAAAGGAGATGGTAACGTGCAGAGCCCTGCATTCGACCTGTTTCTTTGAAATAATTTGTAAGTGAACTACAGCAACTAGAGAAAGTACAGCAACGAAGACAACCAGATTGAAGAAGCATTTAATGAGAAACGCGATCCGATGGGGTTGGTATGCGGGGCGTGAAGAATGTCGCTGGGGTCCCGCACGCCCGGATTTGAAAACATGGATTCCTTCTCGGGACCTGAAGCAACGGCTTCCCCACGGCTCCCCCGAGGCGTGAGGGACACTAAGCTCACATATATGTAAAGTGTGGGCCGTGATGCGCTGATAAAGTGATAAAACGACCTTGAAGGCCACTCCACCTAAACTACAAAGACATTTCCGACATTTTAATGAGTGGGCGGCCCTCTCCCTGAGTCAGGGAACGAAGAATTAATGACATAGTTATGTAGATGCAATAATAATAAAAATAACACAAAAGGGGCTACACGTGATTCAGCACCTGCTGGCTCAGGTATATAAGCTCCCTCCCCACTCGCTGACACTCACTCTCAGGATCTCGTCTTGAACAGAAACACACTCCCCCTGACACCATGAGCTACTATGGCAGCTACTACGGAGGCCACAGAACAGACTCTCAGGAAGGCATGTGTGTGTGTGTGGGGGGGGGGATAACAATGGGGGATACAGTAGGAGTGAGAGAAGGAGGAAGGGGAGGAGAGAGAGAGAGAGGGAGAAGAAATGAAATTCAAAATTTAAAAGACCAAAATGTTAAGCCAGGAGGAAATAGTAATTAGCCATTTAAGAAATGGAATTTGAGCCCCCCTGGGTGTGGCTCAATGGTTGAGCTTTGAACTATGATCCAGTAGGTCATGGTTTGATTCCCTGTCAGGGCACATGCCCGGGTTGTGGGCTCCATTCTCAGTAGGGGGCGGGCGTGCAAGAGGCAGCAGATCAATGATTCTCGCTCATCTTTGATGTTTCTATCTCTCCCTTCCTCTATAGATATATAGCTATGGATAGATATAGATATAGATACGGATATAGATATAGATATAGGTATAGGTATAGGTATAGTCTTCTTAAAAAAGGAGGAAATTGAATTTGAGTTCTGGGAGGAAGACCGAGCTGTCCATTCCCTGGGTCCTGAGTGAGAGGCTTTGGAATGAAGGGATGCAGGCATCTGAGTTCTGGCTCCAGTCTTGTCACTGCTTACTCGTGTGACCTTACACCTTACCTTTCAGTAAAGGGTAGGAGTATAGGTATAGATACAGATATTTATAGATATAGGTATAGGTATAGAGATAGGTATAGATATAGATATAGGTATGGGTGTAGGTATAGATAGATATAGATATAGCTATAGAATAAATATAGGTATAGATACAGATATATAGATATATAGATATATAGGTATAGGTATAGATATAGGTACAAATATAGATACAGATATAGATAGAATAACAAAACAAATGTGGGAAAATGTTTTTAAAATTGGGTGAATCTGAATAATCCCCCCCACACCTTTTTTCAACCATTTTTTCTAACTCTAACCCTCTGGCTTCCCTCCCACAAAGCCCCTTGTGATTTCACGGGCCACCTGGAGAATCCGATACCCCCATTCTGTGTGTGTGTGTGTGTGTGTGTGTGTGTGTGTGTATTTCCCCTTTTGCATCTCAGAACAGCAGTAAAGAGAGAGGCAGTACTGGGATGACTCGCATGCACAGATCACGAAAATCTGCAGAAGACACCAGCAGATGTGTCCGTCCGCCCTCGGGAAAAACCTTCCGAAGCTGTGGGCCCACCGCCCAGAGAAAAGTGCTCCAAAGGCTCAAGTTGATTGTGACGGCAGCATCACCACGGCCGGTACCCCCAGGGTCAGGGGTCGGGCCTCCCTTTGACTTACGGGACATACTGACATACACTCCTTGCTTTTAACTCTTACTTACTTAACATGGGTCACAACGTTGTGAAGAGTCGAAACAAAAGCCCTGAGACTTTGCACAGCGGAGAGGGTGGCAGACAAGGCTCTGAGGTCTGAACCTATGGATATAGATATATAGATATAGATATAGAGATATGAATATAGATACAGATACAGATCTAGATCTAGATCTAGATATAGATATAGATATAGATATGGGTATGGGTATAGATAGATATAGATATATGGAGATATATAGATATAGATACAGATACAGATATACAGATACAGAGATACAGATGCAGATATAGATATAATAACAAAACAAATGTGGAACATGTTTTTTAAAATTGGGTGAATCTGAATAATCCCCCACACACACTTTGTCATCAATTTTTTCTAACTTTAACCCTTTGGCTTCCCTCCCACAAAGCCCCTTGTGATTTCACGGGCCACCTGGGGAATCCGATACCCCCATTCTGTGTGTGTGTGTGTGTGTGTGTGTGTGTGTCTGTATTTCCCCTTTTGCATCTCAGAACAGCAGTAAAGAGAGAGGCAGTACTGGGATGACTCGCATGCACAGATCACGAAAATCTGCAGAAGACACCAGCAGATGTGTCCGTCCGCCCTCGGGAAAAACCTTCCGAAGCTGTGGGCCCACCGCCCAGAGAAAAGTGCTCCAAAGGCTCAAGTTGATTGTGACGGCAGCATCACCACGGCCGGTACCCCCAGGGTCAGGGGTCGGGCCTCCCTTTGACTTACGGGACATACTGACATACACTCCTTGCTTTTAACTCTTACTTACTTAACATGGGTCACAACGTTGTGAAGCGTCGAAACAAAAGCCCTGAGACTTTGCACAGCGGAGAGGGTGGCAGACAAGGCTCTGAGGTCTGAACCCCCTGACGTGGAGCGAACGAGGGGTGGCTGCCCCTGTCCCGCCCAGTGCTGACCTCTGGGATGTCCCCACCCCTGGGGCCCCTCCAGCCTCTCTGCTCCTCTGGGATCCAGGGCAGGGGCTTTCTTCAATGCGGAGCCGACGCCAGCAGGCATCGTTCCAATAACGCCTCTTCTCTCAAGATGTTGTCACCTTTATTGCTGTCTCTTGTATTAAACTCAACCTCTCAGGGTTCAGGGGAGCCGAGGACATGCCTGCTGCTGGGTCTGGGCCAGGGCAGCCTCTCCTCCAGCCTCCTCGCCTGGAGAAGAGGGGTCTGCTCTCAGGGCCGAGGGGCTCCCCGCTCTCTGCCGGTTCTCCCTCCTGGCCACTGGCAGGGCCTTACGAAGCTACTGGGAGGGGACAGTGTGTGCGCCTCCCTGTCCTGGATCCCGCAGGGCTGAGCACCATCACGTGGCTGGAGTGAGGCAGAGAATAGAGGGAAGGTGTGACAGAGCCGGCCCATGGGAGGGTACCCCGCAGGTCCCAGCACCAGAGGGACAGCCGGCGGGAGCCCAGCCCCTTGTTGGAGGGGAGCAGGCTGAGGGGCACGTGGGGGAAGGGGGGGCCCTGGGCTCCCCACAGAGACCTCCAGGCGGGGAAGCGGGAGGCCAGCTACGTCCTGATCGCGCTGTACTCTGGCTCCTGCCGTGTCTCCCTGATCGCGCTGTACTCTGGCTCCTGCTGTGTCTCCCTGATCGCGCTGTACTCTGGCTCCTGCCTTGTCTTCCTGATCTCGCTGTACTCTGGCTCCTGCCGCGGGGGCCTCTGGTCCTCAGGATCCTGATGCTGCGCGGTAAATATCACCATGGAGTAGTGCAGGTCTTCCCTGGGGGCCTGCTGCGGAGAGAGGCCTGGGCTCAGGGGGAGGTGGGGAACCACCGATGGGGATCAGGACACCGAGGGGGCTCAGCCTTCCCCACTGTCCTGCCTTCTTTCCCCTAAAGGCCTGGGCTCCGAGATCCTGCCCCACCCCACCTTCACACACACACACACACACACACACACACACACACACACACCCGCTCAAGCCAAGCACGGAGCCCAGGCTCAGGGCCGGGGTCCCTGTGGCCCACCCTGAGAGCATCAGTCACCGAGTTAGGAAAACAGGGTGTTGTAGTGCCGGGGCCACATGCCTGAGGCCTAAATCTCTCCCCATCTTCCTCACCGAGGGGTCCTCTGCCTGACTCTTCCACTAAAGGGGGTCAGTTGGGGGGCCCTGGGGGACTCCCTCCTCCAGTTCACGTATCAGCGGCTCTGCCTAAGGATCGACCTGCAGCGGGTCCTTGATAAGAACTGAAAGCAGAGCTGATACCAAAGAGATGATGGGAGCCAAACAGTGAGAGCTCACAGGCCTGGACACCGGGCCCACGGCACACAGCAGGTGCTCAATAAAAGCTGTGCTTTATTCGCTATCAGGGCCGTAGTCACTGGCCGTCTCCCAGCCCCTCCGTCTCCCAGCCCCTCCCCCATGCCGGCCACAATGACGCCAAGCTCTGGCAAGGTCCACACCGGCCCTGGGCCCTGTTTTCTGTGTGGCTCAGTCTTTTGTTGTTGTTGTTAATCCGAACCCGAGGATATTTTCCCATTGGTTTTTAGGGAGAGAGGATGAGGGAGGGAGAGACAGAGAGAAACATCGATGTGGGAGAAGCACATCCATTGGTTGCCTTTTCCACGAGCCCCGACCAGGGCCTGGGTTGGGGAGGAGCCTGCAACCAAGGTACGTGCCCTTGACCGGAATCGAACCCGGGACCCTTCAGTCCGCAGGCCGATGCTCTATCCACTGAGCCACATTGGCCAGGGCTGGTGGCTCCGTCTTAAAGTGACACGAGGTCACCGGCCAGCCCTCACTTCCCTCTCTGCCCGAGGCTGCCCCCAGGTGGTGCCTCTGGCATAGCCCGGGTGCCCTGCCAGGAGCGGGGCCCGTACTCACCACGGTGCTGTATTCCACCTCCTCCTGCCTCGGGTGCACGGGCTCTCCCTGAAGGAGCCCCATCTGCAGCTCCAGGTTGGCGTAGCAGGGCTCACTCTGCGGGGCGGCCTGGGGTGGGCAGAGGCGCGGGGCTGGGCGGCTGGCCGGAGTGCCTGGGAAAAAAAAAGCTTCTCTGCAGACATCTCCCCCCTCACGCTCGGGGCCCAGCTTCCTGCCCGGCCTCCCGCCCCCACGCTGGTCCTCTCCGGGCAGCGCTTGCTCCCCAGGTCCGAGGCCAGGCTGGCCGAGCCTCCCTCATTCCCCTTTCCCTGGAGTGGGGGGCAGACTGGCCAGGGCTCCCAGGCGTGGTTCTTCCTGCTCTGGGCGGGCACCCCACTCCTTGCATCGATGGTCCCCCCAGACCTCCACTAGCCCACGGGACGGTCCAGCCCCCACCCCCTGTGCGCCCCGCTACCCACCACCCCTCCTGGTGGCCTTTCTTTTTAGAGAGAATGGAAGAGAGAGGGAAAGACAGAGAGAAACATCGATGTGAGAGACACATCGATTGGTTGGCTCCTGCACGTGGCCCTGCGCCCCGACCAGGGCCCGGACCGGGGAGGGGCCTGTAACTAAGGTACATGGCCTTGACCAGAATCAAACCCAGGACCCTTTGGTCCTCAGGCCGACGCTCTATCCACTGAGCCAACCGAGCCAGGACCTGGTGGCCTTTCTTACCTGACAGGGGTTCTGGAGTGGCTCCGGATTCCCACCAGCTACAGAGACAAGGGGGAGGGGAGGTTTGTCCCAGAACAAGGCAGGTTTGTCCCACGACCCATCTGGAGAAAGGCCTTTGCCTACAGACCTCAGCCCTGGGGACCTGTCGCCTCAGATCCGCAGCGCAGCTGGACTCAAGGGTTTGTGGAGGGAAATGCGACTGAGGGGATGAGTGAATGAGTGAATGAACAAGCAGGTGTGAACACATTCGGTTCCGGTGCTGCACGCAGGCTCCACGCCACCCTCCCCATTAGCAGGGACAGGCCTTCTGATGGGGGAGGAGGGTACAGAAAGGGCGGGAGGAGGGAGAGATGGGAGCACCGCCGGGGATGGAAGGCCGCACTGAGGGAGCTCGGGGGTAACCCACTCTACCATCGTAACACAGTGACCAGGCACCCAGCACAGGATAGGGCCTGGCGCACAGTAGGTGCTCAGGACAGCTTTGCCGTGTGTGAGTGTGTGAGAGAGTGTGTAAATGTGTGTGTGAGAGAGTGTCTGAATGAGTGTGTGAGTCTGTGAATGAGTGTGCGCATGTGTGTGTGTGTGTGTGAGTGTGTGAATGCACCAATGAATGAATGAGTGCAACAGGCTTAGAAGAGGAATAATGATATGACATAACATTTTAAGAAACGTGCACAGATAGGCGTGGAGAAAAGACTGGCAGGAACACCCCAAACGGGGGTGGTTTCTCTTCTCTGGTGGAGGGAGTTTCAGTTTCTATTTCTGATGGGAACTTGTTTCCTCCTCTGTGCTGTTACTTACCTTTGGATTTTCTACAACAATCAGATCCCTTTTTTAAAAGAACTTTTCTAGGTGAAAGGGCATTGCTGGGGATTGCTGACACCACAGATCTGAGACAGTCCAGGCTGGGAACCCCCCCTTGTCTCCCCCTCTCCCCTCCGCCCCCTCTCGGGGAAGAGGAAGTGGCTGACACCCATTCCGCTACTAAAGGCCCGGCCGTGCTGCGGGAGAGGCTGGGCCCATGGGCGGGTGGACAGGCTGGAGGTGAGAGGGTAAGGCAGTGTCCCCCCAACCCGCCCCCAGCACGTACCTGCTCCCAGTTAGCACTGCAGCCGTGGAGAGAGCGTCCCCCTCCCCCTCCCTCCACACTTGACCTCAGGCAGAAGCCTGCATCCTACAGCTGACTGCTGGCCGGTCATCGTTCTCATTTAACTCACTCCCAGGTGTTTATTGAGCACCTACTGACTGAGGCCAGACTCCGAGAGACCTCCTGGGCCCACCTCCCACAGGCTGCATGCACCACTCCAGGGTCGCCTGCTCTCGGGTCGCCCGGGATGTGCAGTCGGAGGGCATACGTTCCATGCCCACCCTGGGCTGGGGGCACAGGGGCCAGGGAGCCAACTCACCTTTGACCCGCCTCCGCCTCCGCACCATTCTCCAGGCCAGCAGTGAGGCCCCCGCCAGGAGGAGCAGCAGAAGCGCTAACAAGATGAGCAGCACAGGGAGCCTGGAGGGAGGCAAGGGCAGGGCAGGGTGGGACGGGGATCTGGCCGCCCGCCTTTGTTTCAATACATGGATAAGGTCACATTAAAAACAAAACAAAATAAGCCCAGCTGGATTGGCTCAGTGGTTGAGCGTCGACCTGTGAACCAGGAGGTTGCGGTTCAATTCCCAGTCAGGGCACATGCCTGGGTTTCGGGCTTGATCCCCAGTGCGGGGTGCGCAGGAGGCAGCCAAGCCATGGTTCTCTCTCATCATCTTGGAAATAAAAAAAAAATATATTTAAAACAAACAAAACAGCAGAACCCCTCCTTTCTCCACATCCCCTCATCTACCCAGTTCCCCGACCCCCACACACTGTATACTTGAGAACCTTCCAGAGGCTCTTCATTCAGATACAAGAAAACACGAATGTGTGTTATTTTCCTCCCTTTTTCACACCCGGGAGGCACAGTATAAACACTAGTTTATACTTAACAAGTGCGGGGTGTGCAGGAGGCAGCCAATGGATGGTTCTCTCTCATCATTGATGTTTCTGTCTCTTTCCTTCTCCCTTCTTCTCTGAAATCAATAGAAATATATTTAAAACAAACATAACAGCAGAACCCCTCCTTTCCCCACATCCCCTCATCTACCCAGTTCCCCCGACCCCCACCCACTGTATACTTGAGAACCTTCCAGAGAACCTTCCAGAGGCTCTGTATTCAGATACAAGAAAACACGAATGTGTGTTATTTTCCTCCCTTTTTCACACCCGGGAGGCACAGTATAAACACTAGTTTATACTTAACAAATACATCTTGGACCCTGAGAGGATGGAGGCAAGAAACAACAACAAACAACAAAAGACAACCCATCTTGGAGCTCTTCCCGTGTCAGCACATATGAAAGGCCCTCACCCTTTTTCACAGCTGCATAGTATTCCACTGCCCTGGTGGACAGACCATCGTTTATTTAACGTGTCCCTCCCTCTTCGTGGGCATTTCCCCAGCCTTTGCAATCACAAATATCGCTGCAAAAAATCACCTCGTAGCTCTGCCACTGCACACGGAGACAAGCAGACTTACTGACACGAGTTAGGGTTCGGGCCCCTCACTGGCTTAGGCCCCTTCTTTCATCCCCCGTTGGCATTCATAATGGTCTGGTCTTTTTCTTAAAGATGCACCTCCCTTCTCCCCAAATCGCCGAGGCTTCAAGCCCCACACAACCTAGCCCTGCCCCCCATGGGTGCATGTGCAGAGTCAGTTTCTAGAAGCGCTGTGTTTGGGACCGGAGTCCCACCTGCCTGGCGTTAGGATGGTCAGTGGGGTGGGCAGGAAGCTGTGGAAGGCATGTCATCAGACTGGCCTTTGCCCCTGGATCCCGGGAGGGGGGCACCAAACCCTCAGGATTTCTCTGGTTACCCACAAACCCCTTGCATCACCCCCGAGATCATGCTAAGAGATGAGGTGACTCAGGATGGGAGTTAGTCACCAGAAGGAGAAACCACGTGATTAGAGATTTGGGGTTCTGAGCCCGCTTGACCTTCAGGGAGGCTGGGAATGAGTTTAGTTGTGTGGTCGGTGATTCAACCAATCGGTCTATGTGATGAAACCCAGTAAAAACCCGCAGCCAGAGTTTGGAGGAGCTTCCGGTCCTTAAACACATCGAGTTCCAGGAGGGGTGCAGTCCACGCCGCTGGGAGTGGGAACCCTGCATTGGGAGCCCTCCCAGACCTCCCCCTTGGGAGCCATCCTGGCTGTTCTTGCTGTGGGTGGCATTCCCTGTCCGGGCTGTGGACACAGTTGGAATTTGGACTGTGACAGTCGAGGTCGTGGCTGTAGTGATACTTGTAGTTGTAGTTGGCGTGGAGGTTGGTGCTGGTGCAGAAACACGAATCAGGCCCAGGGCTCTCTCCTGACTCCACCACTGGCCTCACCTTTTAGGTGGGACTCCACACAGCATGCCCCCCCACCCCCCGAGGGCCCACACCTCCCAGGACCATCCTGGGCAAGCGAGCATTCCTAACAGGACGCCATACCGCCCCAACAGCCCCGATCCCATCCTACCCAGGAGGTCACAGTCCTCCAGAGGGGCCCTAAGTC